TGCGATCCCATCCCTTTGTCTATATATTTCATTATTGAAACTGAACTGGACATTAAAAGTACAGCGTAACAATCATTCTTTCAAATGTTCAGTTGGTAAACCTAGATCTATATTGTTAGAATTAATATATTCACATAAATAACATATTGTTTCGGTTAAAGGTACACTAGTGAACAAAGAATTAACGTCAAGCGAGAACATGTGTTTTTCGGAAGCATTAACGTCCTTAATACGATCAATAAATTGAAAAGTATCATGAATAGAATGTTTACATACTTGTCTTCTAACCGGTTCCAATTTTTCCGCTAACCATTTGGCGATTCTGTGGTATGGAGAACTTGACATGTCCAAAATAGGTCGTAACGGTAAACCCAGCTTATGTATTTTCGGTAGTCCATATAAGCGCGGGATGACTGAACCCATGGGACGCATGTGATTATATAAATTTTGGGTTATTATCCCCTTATTCTTAAGATTTTTAACAACATCTGTTAGCTGTTTTTCGATTTGTAATGTTTTATCAACTTCTTTAGGTTTGAAGAATTCAGTACCATCCTCTAGAATTAACTTCATTTTATCCAAATATTCTTTGCGGTCAAGTAGTACTACACCAGCTCCTTTGTCAGGTTTACTTAGGATTAAATCCTTATTTCTTTTCAACAGTATTAGCTGATCCAAGTGGTTCTTAGTTAATAGGTTATTCTTACTACAATGTGCATTAACGAATCCATGACTGCAGTCCAGTAATGTGGACTTAAAGTGCTGGAGATTTTGTGGAGATGTCGGCATAAGATCGTGAGTTTGATTTGATAGATTTTCGAATTGTATTTGTGTATGAAGTCTACTGGTTTTGGAGGTGCTGTTACAGAACTTGGGACCCAATGATAAGGCCTGCATTTGGACTGGCGAAAGTTTAATAGAAGAATGATTAAATACATAATTTTCTGGATGTTCTGGAAACTTTTTAGTCACGTCTACGTGTTGCAATGTTTCCAAGTGTATACGTTTAGCTTTTTGTGACTGTTTTTCTGTAACATTAGTAACATAGTCCTCAAATTGTTTACGTTCATCTAACGACAATCCAAACAATGCGTGACTTCTTAGAGATATGTTGCGATCTAGTTCGACTTTTCGAGTTTTGATAGCATCGATATAATTGAGTGCATGACGTTTGAGTGTTTTTGCATTGGGATGAATATGGTTTCGCCTTAATGCCTTCCAGAAACGTTTAGGATAGTCATTATTTTCGATACAGCTTTCAAGAAAATTGATCTCACATTTCACTAACGCAAGCTTGACGGTGTAACGTAAGAATTCATTGAGCCCTTTCATCGTCATAAGGTCCTTGCATTTCTTCAATTGACAGATAATTCCCATTTAAACATTAAAATTAAAACACGAATTTCAGCGAAGGGATCTCTTTTCAACGAATTTATTATCAAGCTGTACAATCGTATATATATGAAAATTTTTTGTTTTTGTAAAAGTACTAATTCCGTGAGGAAATGTGAACACAGTTAATATAAAGGTTATAATACTAGATTACGTAATATGAATAATAACAATAACAATAGATTTAGTGATAATAATAAGATGATTAAAATGTTTTTGTTATAATAATTAAAGGTCATAGAGGTGTACAAAAATAAACTGATATGATGAGCGTTCATGAATAAAACAATGAGAATATAAGACATGAGTAAAGAGGGAATGCAGTAATAATAATAATAATAATAATAACATTAATGGTAGGATAATCAAACTAATTAAGGCCAAGGTAACGATAACGATAAGACGTACTTCTTTTGTACGCATAGTTCTGGTTTAAGCTCCTGGATGGCAAGAGCTTCGGCTATTTTTAAAAGTTGTATACGAAGAAATCTGGGTAGATTTGAACGAATCATATAAACAACCTTAAAATCAATTTGTGGATCTGTTGAATGGTTATAGTCAATTAGGTGTTCAAGAATAGAACTCCTAACTGCTTTCCTTTCACCCTTATAGAACCAGGCTGGGATATGTTCTCGTATCCGAGTTGAAAGCGAGCGCTGGCTACGGCCAATGTACCTTGCTCCACAAGAGCAGGTGAACTGGTAGATGCACATGGAGGCGACCAGACGCGGAAGCTTATCTTTTATGGATACAGAAAATAAGTTTCTACTAGTGAAGGATATTCGTAGTTTTGCCGCGTTAAATGTTCTCCTAATAGTAGTTGTTAGACGGTTTTTGATTACGTCCGATGTTCGGTCACCTTTAAATTCCAGACTTATATAAAGGTTTTTCTTTGGAACGGAACAACTAGAATTCTTCTCGCGACTACTTTTATTCATATTCTTTTCTATGAACCGTTCTGGGTAACCATTTTCCGTCAAAGTCTTCTTCAGGAATGCGAGTTCTTCGTTAATGCATTCCGTACTGCATATGTGATGTATGCGATGGCATAAAGAATGGATAAGGTTTCTCTTCCTACTTAACGGAACCCAGCTGTAGAAGTTGGTTAGCTGGCCATTCCATGTTTGTTTTCTAAAGATGGATCTTTTTAAAGAACCATTACTCGTTCTCATCAGACGTACATCGAGAAAAGGAATTGATTGGTCGTGTTCCCTTTCTAACGTGAAGTTTATGGATGGGTGGCACGAGTTAAAGGTATGTAGAATATCATCTAAATCAATATTATTGTCACAAACAACAAACGTGTCGTCCATGTATCTCACGTACAGGTGGAATCGATTGATCATTGAACGGAGTTGGTCGTTTTCTACTTTTGCCATGAAACAGTCTGCTAAAATTGGACCCAATGGAGGCCCCATTGCGATCCCATCCCTTTGTCTATATATTTCATTATTGAAACTGAACTGGACATTAAAAGTACAGCGTAACAATCATTCTTTCAAATGTTCAGTTGGTAAACCTAGATCTATATTGTTAGAATTAATATATTCACATAAATAACATATTGTTTCGGTTAAAGGTACACTAGTGAACAAAGAATTAACGTCAAGCGAGAACATGTGTTTTTCGGAAGCATTAACGTCCTTAATACGATCAATAAATTGAAAAGTATCATGAATAGAATGTTTACATACTTGTCTTCTAACCGGTTCCAATTTTTCCGCTAACCATTTGGCGATTCTGTGGTATGGAGAACTTGACATGTCCAAAATAGGTCGTAACGGTAAACCCAGCTTATGTATTTTCGGTAGTCCATATAAGCGCGGGATGACTGAACCCATGGGACGCATGTGATTATATAAATTTTGGGTTATTATCCCCTTATTCTTAAGATTTTTAACAACATCTGTTAGCTGTTTTTCGATTTGTAATGTTTTATCAACTTCTTTAGGTTTGAAGAATTCAGTACCATCCTCTAGAATTAACTTCATTTTATCCAAATATTCTTTGCGGTCAAGTAGTACTACACCAGCTCCTTTGTCAGGTTTACTTAGGATTAAATCCTTATTTCTTTTCAACAGTATTAGCTGATCCAAGTGGTTCTTAGTTAATAGGTTATTCTTACTACAATGTGCATTAACGAATCCATGACTGCAGTCCAGTAATGTGGACTTAAAGTGCTGGAGATTTTGTGGAGATGTCGGCATAAGATCGTGAGTTTGATTTGATAGATTTTCGAATTGTATTTGTGTATGAAGTCTACTGGTTTTGGAGGTGCTGTTACAGAACTTGGGACCCAATGATAAGGCCTGCATTTGGACTGGCGAAAGTTTAATAGAAGAATGATTAAATACATAATTTTCTGGATGTTCTGGAAACTTTTTAGTCACGTCTACGTGTTGCAATGTTTCCAAGTGTATACGTTTAGCTTTTTGTGACTGTTTTTCTGTAACATTAGTAACATAGTCCTCAAATTGTTTACGTTCATCTAACGACAATTCAAACAATGCGTGACTTCTTAGAGATATGTTGCGATCTAGTTCGACTTTTCGAGTTTTGATAGCATCGATATAATTGAGTGCATGACGTTTGAGTGTTTTTGCATTGGGATGAATATGGTTTCGCCTTAATGCCTTCCAGAAACGTTTAGGATAGTCATTATTTTCGATACAGCTTTCAAGAAAATTGATCTCACATTTCACTAACGCAAGCTTGACGGTGTAACGTAAGAATTCATTGAGCCCTTTCATCGTCATAAGGTCCTTGCATTTCTTCAATTGACAGATAATTCCCATTTAAACATTAAAATTAAAACACGAATTTCAGCGAAGGGATCTCTTTTCAACGAATTTATTATCAAGCTGTACAATCGTATATATATGAAAATTTTTTGTTTTTGTAAAAGTACTAATTCCGTGAGGAAATGTGAACACAGTTAATATAAAGGTTATAATACTAGATTACGTAATATGAATAATAACAATAACAATAGATTTAGTGATAATAATAAGATGATTAAAATGTTTTTGTTATAATAATTAAAGGTCATAGAGGTGTACAAAAATAAACTGATATGATGAGCGTTCATGAATAAAACAATGAGAATATAAGACATGAGTAAAGAGGGAATGCAGTAATAATAATAATAATAATAATAATAATAACATTAATGGTAGGATAATCAAACTAATTAAGGCCAAGGTAACGATAACGATAAGACGTACTTCTTTTGTACGCATAGTTCTGGTTTAAGCTCCTGGATGGCAAGAGCTTCGGCTATTTTTAAAAGTTGTATACGAAGAAATCTGGGTAGATTTGAACGAATCATATAAACAACCTTAAAATCAATTTGTGGATCTGTTGAATGGTTATAGTCAATTAGGTGTTCAAGAATAGAACTCCTAACTGCTTTCCTTTCACCCTTATAGAACCAGGCTGGGATATGTTCTCGTATCCGAGTTGAAAGCGAGCGCTGGCTACGGCCAATGTACCTTGCTCCACAAGAGCAGGTGAACTGGTAGATGCACATGGAGGCGACCAGACGCGGAAGCTTATCTTTTATGGATACAGAAAATAAGTTTCTACTAGTGAAGGATATTCGTAGTTTTGCCGCGTTAAATGTTCTCCTAATAGTAGTTGTTAGACGGTTTTTGATTACGTCCGATGTTCGGTCACCTTTAAATTCCAGACTTATATAAAGGTTTTTCTTTGGAACGGAACAACTAGAATTCTTCTCGCGACTACTTTTATTCATATTCTTTTCTATGAACCGTTCTGGGTAACCATTTTCCGTCAAAGTCTTCTTCAGGAATGCGAGTTCTTCGTTAATGCATTCCGTACTGCATATGTGATGTATGCGATGGCATAAAGAATGGATAAGGTTTCTCTTCCTACTTAACGGAACCCAGCTGTAGAAGTTGGTTAGCTGGCCATTCCATGTTTGTTTTCTAAAGATGGATCTTTTTAAAGAACCATTACTCGTTCTCATCAGACGTACATCGAGAAAAGGAATTGATTGGTCGTGTTCCCTTTCTAACGTGAAGTTTATGGATGGGTGGCACGAGTTAAAGGTATGTAGAATATCATCTAAATCAATATTATTGTCACAAACAACAAACGTGTCGTCCATGTATCTCACGTACAGGTGGAATCGATTGATCATTGAACGGAGTTGGTCGTTTTCTACTTTTGCCATGAAACAGTCTGCTAAAATTGGACCCAATGGAGGCCCCATTGCGATCCCATCCCTTTGTCTATATATTTCATTATTGAAACTGAACTGGACATTAAAAGTACAGCGTAACAATCATTCTTTCAAATGTTCAGTTGGTAAACCTAGATCTATATTGTTAGAATTAATATATTCACATAAATAACATATTGTTTCGGTTAAAGGTACACTAGTGAACAAAGAATTAACGTCAAGCGAGAACATGTGTTTTTCGGAAGCATTAACGTCCTTAATACGATCAATAAATTGAAAAGTATCATGAATAGAATGTTTACATACTTGTCTTCTAACCGGTTCCAATTTTTCCGCTAACCATTTGGCGATTCTGTGGTATGGAGAACTTGACATGTCCAAAATAGGTCGTAACGGTAAACCCAGCTTATGTATTTTCGGTAGTCCATATAAGCGCGGGATGACTGAACCCATGGGACGCATGTGATTATATAAATTTTGGGTTATTATCCCCTTATTCTTAAGATTTTTAACAACATCTGTTAGCTGTTTTTCGATTTGTAATGTTTTATCAACTTCTTTAGGTTTGAAGAATTCAGTACCATCCTCTAGAATTAACTTCATTTTATCCAAATATTCTTTGCGGTCAAGTAGTACTACACCAGCTCCTTTGTCAGGTTTACTTAGGATTAAATCCTTATTTCTTTTCAACAGTATTAGCTGATCCAAGTGGTTCTTAGTTAATAGGTTATTCTTACTACAATGTGCATTAACGAATCCATGACTGCAGTCCAGTAATGTGGACTTAAAGTGCTGGAGATTTTGTGGAGATGTCGGCATAAGATCGTGAGTTTGATTTGATAGATTTTCGAATTGTATTTGTGTATGAAGTCTACTGGTTTTGGAGGTGCTGTTACAGAACTTGGGACCCAATGATAAGGCCTGCATTTGGACTGGCGAAAGTTTAATAGAAGAATGATTAAATACATAATTTTCTGGATGTTCTGGAAACTTTTTAGTCACGTCTACGTGTTGCAATGTTTCCAAGTGTTTACGTTTAGCTTTTTGTGACTGTTTTTCTGTAACATTAGTAACATAGTCCTCAAATTGTTTACGTTCATCTAACGACAATTCAAACAATGCGTGACTTCTTAGAGATATGTTGCGATCTAGTTCGACTTTTCGAGTTTTGATAGCATCGATATAATTGAGTGCATGACGTTTGAGTGTTTTTGCATTGGGATGAATATGGTTTCGCCTTAATGCCTTCCAGAAACGTTTAGGATAGTCATTATTTTCGATACAGCTTTCAAGAAAATTGATCTCACATTTCACTAACGCAAGCTTGACGGTGTAACGTAAGAATTCATTGAGCCCTTTCATCGTCATAAGGTCCTTGCATTTCTTCAATTGACAGATAATTCCCATTTAAACATTAAAATTAAAACACGAATTTCAGCGAAGGGATCTCTTTTCAACGAATTTATTATCAAGCTGTACAATCGTATATATATGAAAATTTTTTGTTTTTGTAAAAGTACTAATTCCGTGAGGAAATGTGAACACAGTTAATATAAAGGTTATAATACTAGATTACGTAATATGAATAATAACAATAACAATAGATTTAGTGATAATAATAAGATGATTAAAATGTTTTTGTTATAATAATTAAAGGTCATAGAGGTGTACAAAAATAAACTGATATGATGAGCGTTCATGAATAAAACAATGAGAATATAAGACATGAGTAAAGAGGGAATGCAGTAATAATAATAATAATAATAATAACATTAATGGTAGGATAATCAAACTAATTAAGGCCAAGGTAACGATAACGATAAGACGTACTTCTTTTGTACGCATAGTTCTGGTTTAAGCTCCTGGATGGCAAGAGCTTCGGCTATTTTTAAAAGTTGTATACGAAGAAATCTGGGTAGATTTGAACGAATCATATAAACAACCTTAAAATCAATTTGTGGATCTGTTGAATGGTTATAGTCAATTAGGTGTTCAAGAATAGAACTCCTAACTGCTTTCCTTTCACCCTTATAGAACCAGGCTGGGATATGTTCTCGTATCCGAGTTGAAAGCGAGCGCTGGCTACGGCCAATGTACCTTGCTCCACAAGAGCAGGTGAACTGGTAGATGCACATGGAGGCGACCAGACGCGGAAGCTTATCTTTTATGGATACAGAAAATAAGTTTCTACTAGTGAAGGATATTCGTAGTTTTGCCGCGTTAAATGTTCTCCTAATAGTAGTTGTTAGACGGTTTTTGATTACGTCCGATGTTCGGTCACCTTTAAATTCCAGACTTATATAAAGGTTTTTCTTTGGAACGGAACAACTAGAATTCTTCTCGCGACTACTTTTATTCATATTCTTTTCTATGAACCGTTCTGGGTAACCATTTTCCGTCAAAGTCTTCTTCAGGAATGCGAGTTCTTCGTTAATGCATTCCGTACTGCATATGTGATGTATGCGATGGCATAAAGAATGGATAAGGTTTCTCTTCCTACTTAACGGAACCCAGCTGTAGAAGTTGGTTAGCTGGCCATTCCATGTTTGTTTTCTAAAGATGGATCTTTTTAAAGAACCATTACTCGTTCTCATCAGACGTACATCGAGAAAAGGAATTGATTGGTCGTGTTCCCTTTCTAACGTGAAGTTTATGGATGGGTGGCACGAGTTAAAGGTATGTAGAATATCATCTAAATCAATATTATTGTCACAAACAACAAACGTGTCGTCCATGTATCTCACGTACAGGTGGAATCGATTGATCATTGAACGGAGTTGGTCGTTTTCTACTTTTGCCATGAAACAGTCTGCTAAAATTGGACCCAATGGAGGCCCCATTGCGATCCCATCCCTTTGTCTATATATTTCATTATTGAAACTGAACTGGACATTAAAAGTACAGCGTAACAATCATTCTTTCAAATGTTCAGTTGGTAAACCTAGATCTATATTGTTAGAATTAATATATTCACATAAATAACATATTGTTTCGGTTAAAGGTACACTAGTGAACAAAGAATTAACGTCAAGCGAGAACATGTGTTTTTCGGAAGCATTAACGTCCTTAATACGATCAATAAATTGAAAAGTATCATGAATAGAATGTTTACATACTTGTCTTCTAACCGGTTCCAATTTTTCCGCTAACCATTTGGCGATTCTGTGGTATGGAGAACTTGACATGTCCAAAATAGGTCGTAACGGTAAACCCAGCTTATGTATTTTCGGTAGTCCATATAAGCGCGGGATGACTGAACCCATGGGACGCATGTGATTATATAAATTTTGGGTTATTATCCCCTTATTCTTAAGATTTTTAACAACATCTGTTAGCTGTTTTTCGATTTGTAATGTTTTATCAACTTCTTTAGGTTTGAAGAATTCAGTACCATCCTCTAGAATTAACTTCATTTTATCCAAATATTCTTTGCGGTCAAGTAGTACTACACCAGCTCCTTTGTCAGGTTTACTTAGGATTAAATCCTTATTTCTTTTCAACAGTATTAGCTGATCCAAGTGGTTCTTAGTTAATAGGTTATTCTTACTACAATGTGCATTAACGAATCCATGACTGCAGTCCAGTAATGTGGACTTAAAGTGCTGGAGATTTTGTGGAGATGTCGGCATAAGATCGTGAGTTTGATTTGATAGATTTTCGAATTGTATTTGTGTATGAAGTCTACTGGTTTTGGAGGTGCTGTTACAGAACTTGGGACCCAATGATAAGGCCTGCATTTGGACTGGCGAAAGTTTAATAGAAGAATGATTAAATACATAATTTTCTGGATGTATTCTTGCTAAATAAGCCTGTTACACTAATATCCGTATTCTCTATTTCAGTTAATCGGTGAAGACATGTACCACGTTCATATGCTGTATACTTCCATTTTACTCTGATTTTGTTATATCTTCTGAAAAGTAAAATTGCCATATGCAGCTAATACAGACTTATTTGTTTTGATGTAGATAACTGGATTCATGGGATTTTTAGCAGTACCGTAGCAATATTCTCACTCAAAAGCTAAGCGAGTGCGTAGGCCAGTGTAAGGTACCATACGGGGTGCATTTTAGTTACTAGCGTTCCATTAGTGAGGTTGGGGGCATTGCTTGCCTATCATATGGCATTTCAATAGGGACCTATGAGATTAGAGGCAGGTACTATTAGGATGTGTAACGCGTGTCCATCCGTCAGCTGCCGTGACAACTCGTGGTGGTTAGAATTAATTATGAGAGGACCCGAGTCTGTAGGTTTCCCAAGAAAATGACGAAGATTTTTTGTTTTTGTAAAAGTACTAATTCCGTGAGGAAATGTGAACACAGTTAATATAAAGGTTATAATACTAGATTACGTAATATGAATAATAACAATAACAATAGATTTAGTGATAATAATAAGATGATTAAAATGTTTTTGTTATAATAATTAAAGGTCATAGAGGTGTACAAAAATAAACTGATATGATGAGCGTTCATGAATAAAACAATGAGAATATAAGACATGAGTAAAGAGGGAATGCAGTAATAATAATAATAATAATAATAATAACATTAATGGTAGGATAATCAAACTAATTAAGGCCAAGGTAACGATAACGATAAGACGTACTTCTTTTGTACGCATAGTTCTGGTTTAAGCTCCTGGATGGCAAGAGCTTCGGCTATTTTTAAAAGTTGTATACGAAGAAATCTGGGTAGATTTGAACGAATCATATAAACAACCTTAAAATCAATTTGTGGATCTGTTGAATGGTTATAGTCAATTAGGTGTTCAAGAATAGAACTCCTAACTGCTTTCCTTTCACCCTTATAGAACCAGGCTGGGATATGTTCTCGTATCCGAGTTGAAAGCGAGCGCTGGCTACGGCCAATGTACCTTGCTCCACAAGAGCAGGTGAACTGGTAGATGCACATGGAGGCGACCAGACGCGGAAGCTTATCTTTTATGGATACAGAAAATAAGTTTCTACTAGTGAAGGATATTCGTAGTTTTGCCGCGTTAAATGTTCTCCTAATAGTAGTTGTTAGACGGTTTTTGATTACGTCCGATGTTCGGTCACCTTTAAATTCCAGACTTATATAAAGGTTTTTCTTTGGAACGGAACAACTAGAATTCTTCTCGCGACTACTTTTATTCAAAACATTTTAATCATTTTATTATTATCACTAAATCTATTGTTATTGTTATTATTCATATTACGTAATCTAGTATTATAACCTTTATATTAACTGTGTTCACATTTCCTCACGGAATTAGTACTTTTACAAAAACAAAAAATTTTCATATATATACGATTGTACAGCTTGATAATAAATTCGTTGAAAAGAGATCCCTTCGCTGAAATTCGTGTTTTAATTTTAATGTTTAAATGGGAATTATCTGTTAATTTGAACTTACTGTGTGAAAGTTATACTGGAACTACGAATGTTGTAGAAATAGAGTTTCTCGGGGCGTATGAAGCACTCAAACTGGAAGACAGTTGTCCAAAAGTATGATGATGAAAATTTGCAGGTGCTTTTCATCATAAGGCTGAACATGTTAGGTTCCGGTTGACATCATACCGTAAAAAACACAAATTTGAGAGTGGCGAAATATGATCTATAAAAAAGGCAGCTTAATAACAGTTAATTACCCTTTTACTCCCTGATTATGACCCTTCGGCTTCCTTTTATAGCCAAAACATCGAACATACACTACACACTGGTGGCAGATTTCCGGCTTTTCAATGTTAAGCTTGCTTTAACGTACTACGTAATATGTACAACTCGTCTATTACTGCTATATGGCATATTTTTTATAGCAAACCCTCTGCAGTAGATTGGTAGCATCTGTGACTTCGTCTATGGTTATCGGAAGTCTGGGTCCTTTCGATATCAATAGTGATATCCCCTATTGCTGGGCACTCAGTATTAGTTTGACTCGTTGGTGGGATAGTGTTGTCCATAAAACTGAAGAAAATTAAAAACCGCAGATTGTTTCCTTTCATTTTGCTGATAACATCATAAAGGACAGTTAGGAACGAACAATCGACCAGTTAGAGTCACAGGCGGCAGCAATAATTATTTTAGGTAAATAAAAACTAATTTCGGCTTTGGATATCTGGAAAACAAGGTAAAACATAACCAATTATCATTTTAAAACATAAGATCTTATGTTAGTACTAGCTAGCTTAGCTGAAGAAATGCACTGAATTCAGTAGTAGCAGGAAAACCCAGAAAACAAAGCAAAATCAGGAAAACTTTTGCTCCAACGTTTAGAGTATTACATTAAATTCTGCATTTTAGCACACTGAAACAAATTATGTGGCGGCGAGACTCTAATTTAGCGACGACCTTTGAACGAATCTTAAATGACCTTGACAATTATTAGCCAATCAGAAGACAGTTAGTATAAAGTGAGAATATATTGTAAGTAAGTAATGAATTACAGTGGATATTCTTTTTTCTACATGATTTAGAAACTTGTTAAGGTTTGATAAAGGTTCAGAGGCTCTGAATTCATAATGCATATTGTATAGAAACTCGTCCATATGGTTAGTGGTTAGGGTTGTAGCCTGTCAATAGACACCTCTTCTCTAAAATCCGATCACATGTTAGCACCCTAATCCTAACCTAACTCTAACCTCAACCTAACCCTCATCTTAACCTAACCCTAAACCCTAATCTCACCCTAACCTTAACCTAACCCTAAACCTTAATCTAACCCTAACCTTAATCTAACCCTAACCTTAATCTAACCCTTAACCCTAATTTTAACCCCGAACCCTAACCCTATGGACGAGTTTCTATACAATATGCATTATGAATTCAGAACTTCTGAGCCTTTATCAAACCTCAACAAGTTTTTAAATCATGTAAAAGGAGAATATCCACTGTAATTCATTACTTTCTTGTAATATATTTTTACTTTATACTGTCTTCTGATTGGCTAATAATTGAAATTGCTCAAACGCTTCTCATTGGCTCGTCCCTGAATTTGAGTTTTGCCGTCCCATCTGTTTTAACCTCTCATTAATCACCTCCTCTCTAAAATCCGCTGTGAACCGACTGTACGTTAGCATCGCGTGTTGAACTTGGCTACGTGGCCTTGAAATTGCTCAAACGCTCCTGATTGGCTCGTCGCTAAATTAGAGTCTCGCCGAATAGCCAGATTGCCTGAAGAAATACATTGACTTGAGCAGAAGCGGCAAAAACCCAGAAAACATCGCTGATTCGAAATAAATTTCACACCTACATGTAGAACATTACACTAACTGCGGCATTTTAGCACACTGAAACATTAAATTACATAGCTACACAAAAGAAATAGCTGAAAAAAGCACAGAACAAAGAAAGCTGACCGCCATCGCTTACAAAGATGGCGGACATGATGATTCCCGTCTTATTCTGATTGGTCGCCAAGCTGAAGGGCACATTTACGAAATTGAGTTGCGTTTAATTGCAGCCTTCAATGAAGCTATCCTTGACCATCAGTTGCACATTCGCAACGCAACTTTCATGAAGCGCGCCAACGGTTCAAATGGTTCAGATGGTTGTGGACGGAATAGAAGAAGCTTTCGCTTAACAGGCTTCCGTGTCTAGTAGCAGGGGATCACGAAATCCTCCAGGCAGGAACCTAGGTATGTTAACAATAAAAGAGGAAAAGAAATTGGTAAATCATAGTGTGATGCTGTCCTTCGTCCTTAAGAATAGGTCAAGTTGCCTCTTGAAGGACTCCTGAGAAGTCGCTTGGACTAGCTCGGCCGGCAGCGAGTTCCAGCTTTTGACAACTCTTAAGGATTAGAAGTTGTGTCTACATTCCGTCTTGCTATGTTGTGTTTCCAGTTTCTGGGTGTTACTCCTTAGGTTATTATTCGAACTAAGCTTAAGTAGGTGTTTAAGAGGATGTCCAGAAGTGTTAAGAATACTATAAGCCATTAATAAATCACCTCTAAGACGCCTATATTCTAGTGGGTAAAGATCTAGTGAACGGAGGCGTTCTTCGTAAGGCTTAGATTTGAGTCCTCGAACTGATTTCGTGGCTCGCCGTTGGATACGCTCCAAAGTGACCTTGTCCTTTTGGAGTGAGGGGGGGAGTATTATGTTTCCGTACTCTAAATGGGGACGGATGAAACTATTGAAGATTGTGTGGAAAGTTCTTCCGTCAAACTGACCAAAAATGCGCCTCAACGTTACCAGTGCAAGGTTTGCTCGGAAGGCATTTTTGTCACAGTTAGCGTAAGACTTTAAGTCATGGGGCACCAGGACTCCTAAATCTTTTTCGACTTGGGATACTACTAGAGAGGAGTTTCCTAAGTTGTAACTGTAGTTTGCGACATGTCGCAGATGGACTACTTTACACTTTGAAGTGTTAAAGGTAAGTCCGTTATCGTCTGCCCAACTTTGAAGTCGAGTCAGATCCTCTTGAAGTGCCTGTATATCGTCTTGGTTGCGTATCTCTCTCCAAAGTTTCACGTCGTCGGCAAAAAGTAATAAGTCTGACGTTACCTGTTGAGGAAGATCATTTATGTAGATCAAGAAGAGAAGAGGCCCTAGTACTGAGCCCTGGGGGACCCCGCTAGGACATTCCATAGCTTGATATAAAGTGAAATTAACCCTAACCTTAAAGTGTCGATTTTTTAGGTATGAAGTAAGCCAATCGATTAGAGGTGGTTTGATACCTAGTCGTTTGAGCTTGTTGATAAGACACAAGTGGTTAACCTTATCAAAAGCTTTTGAGAAATCAAGGTAAATGACGTCAACCTTTCCCTTGCAATCGAGGATGCTTGTCCATCTGTCCACCGCAGTCAGCAGGTTGGTTATACAAGAGTAACCCTTCCTGAAACCATGCTGTTGGGGTGAGAAGAAATTTAAGGACAGTAGATAGTCGTTTAAACCGTCGCATATCAGGGACTCCATGAGTTTTGAAGGTAATGACAGAAGAGCCACCGGCCGATAACTTGAAGGTTCATTGCGTCGACCACCTTTGAAAATTGGTGTGATGTGAGCCAACTCCCAATTTTCCGGTAATTTGCCTCGGCTAAGCGAGTGTGAAAACACCACGCTAAGCGGCGTTGCCAGGATTGAGGCTGCCTCCCTCAGTATGGCAGGATGAACCATATCCGGGCCAGGAGAAGTGTCAAGTCTTAAGTGCTGCAGTTTCCGGGACACCAAGTCAGCGCTTAGGTCCACTTCAGAAAGTCCTGTGGAATTGCAGATGAAACTGTCGTCAATAAAGTTGATGTCAGCCGGTTGAAATGTTTGAGAGTAATGGGCCGCCAGAAGGTTAGCGGCGTCGCCATCATTGTTGGTCGGGCCGTTAAGACCTAGCAGTTGAGAAATTCCTGTTTTTGCTTGACGAAGAGAGGCTGTGTAACGGAATAGGCTTCTAGGGTTAGAGGCGAATTTATCCATAAGCTTTGTTTGGTACTGAAGCCTGTCTTCTCTTATAGCCTTCGTGCATATGTTCCTGATATGTTTATATTGCCTATACGCTCCATCGTTATTAGTTCGTTTGTATTCCGCCCAACAGTGTCTTTTGCGGCTTAGCAGGCGAAGGGTACGGTTCTTGATTACTGTAGGTGGCTTGCAGCTTTTGGGAACCGTGTGAGGAACTGAATGGTCTGTAGCACATAAGAGCGTGTGCAGTAAGAAGTCCCAATGACTATCCACATCGAGTTGAGGGTGAACATCCCAAACCACCTGTTGTAGATAGTCATGTAGAGCTGGCACGTTCAGCCGTTTAAAATTCCATCGCAAATTATTGTTGGGATACCTTAGCTTAGTTTTGATGACAAAACTGAAGGCTATGACGGCATGATCGCTCTTTCCCAGAGGAGCCAGGATTGAGAGGTTGTCGACTAGGAATTCTTCGTTAGTGAATACACAGTCTAAGCGCGATGGTGTTTGACTGTTTCTCCAACGAGTTGCCGACCTCACATTTTCATATAAGCTCAAGTTATCGATGAGGTTGAAGAACCGAGCTTCAGTTGAGTTGTCGCCTCCAGTGTACGCGTGTTCCGCGAAGTTGACTCTAGGGAGATTAAAGTCCCCTAGAATCAGGATGTGTGTGAAACCGAGACGGATAGAGCGGGATAGTCTTTCCAGCATACGACTATCGTACTCGGTGTCGGCAGTTGGCTTCCTGTAAATGACTCCGACTAGGCACCTGGAAGTACTAGACAACCTTACAGAGCACCATATGGATTCCTCAAGATTGTTAAACTCGAGGTTGTGAACCTGGTGCACCTCCAAGCAAGAGCTTATGTATATGGCTACTCGGCCCCCAATTCCTATTTTTCTGTCGTTGCGGAACAAAGTCATCCCAGGTAATGCTAACTCTTGGTCTGAGAACTGAGAAGATATCCAGGTTTCAGATATTCCTATCAGATGGGCCTTGTTAGCATTGCTAAGTTCACGTAGTTCATCCAGTTTGTTTGGTAGACTCGCGGCGTTCATATATAAGCAGTTTATGCTTTCAATTTGGAACGCATGAGCTTCGTCCTGTTTTTCTGCATGAACCTTATGTGAATGGACAGGTAGCCCACCTATATGAGGTTTGCCGAGGTGGTAGGCCCTCTCCTTTACACGTTTTTTTATCGTTTAGACAGTCCACAAGTGGAATGGTCAGCTCCAACTTGCCTTTGTTCTTGGTTCTGACTTCGTATGGCCTATCCGGGTGCATGTGGATTCCAGGTGGCAATCGACGTCTATTAGCACGAAATGCTTCCAGAACTGCAGCCGCCATGTGGGAAGATGGGAAGGTTATCTTCATTAGACGGGGTCTAAGATCACCGTCCTTCTCGGCTAGTCTCGTCACATGCTGAGTCAGTATGTGTTTGAGCCTCAAGGACTGTTTGATGAATTTCCATTCCCTGATGTCAGAATTTGATTGAGTAGGGTCTGCATTTTCCGGTATACCTTGGACAATTATGTTTCTTCCACGGAAAAACTTCTCGCGAGATTCTTTAGGGACGTTTCGTATGATATTGCGCTCAGAGTACGGTATGTCGGGCAATATTCTTACGTTACCATCTGATTTCAATAAGTGACTTGCTAGCAAGACGTCCTCTACGTCGGTAGCATTCTTAAGTGTTACTCGGAGAAGCCTCGGGTGATTTAGATGCTTGGAATCCTTTCCTCGAGTGAGCCGGGTGACCGTCAAAGGCTCTATTCTAGGAAGTTCGAGCTTCTTGTTCAATTCACCCCAGAGCATCCTGTCGTTTTTATCCTGCAGACTGAGAGGAAGGTCAGGATTGTCGACGAGGTTCATGATAATGAGAGAATCGTCACGAACCGTTGTTAATTTACCAGGTTTCACGATGGGTTCAGGTTTAATAACTTGTTGTTTGGAGGTCAGTGTGCGTTTATGAATCTTGGGCTCTTTATTGACCGGACGAACAGTCTTGGGGGTAGACTGTGCGACTAAATCACCAGTTATTTTCCGTGCAGCAACACTTGGGTTGCTCGGCTTAGGCGGTGATGCCTGGTTCTTTTGGGCTCTCTTAACGTGGGTCGAATCACCTGCAGGGTTTTTGGGAACCACTGTTGTGTTCAGGGACCCTGAGCTGGGAGACCCGAGTTTCCCTAGGGAGTCTAGTACCGTCGACATGATGATGGTACTGAGCCTCGACACGTCGTCATTAGTATTGATGGATGCTCCATCGATGGTATACCTATCGACATCCCTATTTTTGAGTCCGTTGCGCGCTCCTGTTTGTATATCGTTTTTTTTTACTGTCGTATTCCAAGTTAACTGACAGCTTGTTCCGAAGACCTGTCAGTAGGACAATGATGTTACTCAGCAAGACTACTGCGTCCGTGTTGCACGTGACACATACCCACTTTTGGTCTGACTTGCTGAGTCTGTTGTAAGCAGTTGCTGTCAGATTTGTGCATGCTTCGTGGAACCAACCTTTGCAGTTGTCGCACTGCATGCCAGTTGTGACAGCAAAACGGCATCCCGAACGTTTGCATGAGTTTTTCATGACGGTGTTGAAGCAAACTATGTTATAGATGCTTGCAAAAGCTTAAGACCTTTTTAAAAAAACACTAAAATGCACACTGAAAACGGACAAAAATGGACAAAACGAGTGATATAAACTGAAACTAGTCTGTACGTGAAAAACAAAAAAAAACCGAATAGTAAGCTGAGGCAAAACCACAGGTAACTATTAAATATAGTGAAACTCAAAAAAAAGTAATCTACCGAACGTATAGCTCAGGATAGATTTTTTAGAACTGAAATGGTACTTTTGTTGCGTAAGAACACAGCAAAAGTTTGATATATGCAAATCACGTTAGGACTAAATTTCCCGTTCGAAAAGCGCGCTTTATACCAACGGTGATACTGACTAAAACCATCTACATTCATATCTTATAAATTATCAACCCAGCTGAATAATTTACTACAATGTGTATCGTATCATTTTTAAAAATTTGATTTTGCCTGTAAACTGACATGCCTCATGTAACAAACTGTTATTTGAGAATAAATTATTATTATTAATATTATGATTATTACTTGGAACCTGCTACGCCAAGCAGTGGTGTCCACACCTTCAAACGACTCTATCAAGAGAAGACTGGACACTCACAGATGCATTCTAGAAAAGGAATAACATAAGCCGTGGGCCTTCTGTCCTTACTATCTTGACTTCTCATAAGCTTATCATAGGGACAACCATATATATCTTATCAATAAGCTCAAACGATTGGGTATCAAACCAGCTCCAATGGACTGGCTCACTTCATATCTAAAAAATTGACATTTGAAGGTCGCGGTTAACCCCACTTTCTTTCAGGCTACGGAATGTCCTAGTGTGGTCCTATAGGGTTCAGTACTAGGACCTGTTCTTTTCTTGATTTATATAGACGATCTTCACAACAGGTATCTTTTGACTTATTTCTTTTTGCTGATGATGCGAAGAGAGAGATGTGCAAACAAACGGATGTACTAGCACTTAAGGAGGGTCTGATTGGACTTCAAAGTTGGGCAGATAACAACGGACTCACATTTAACACATCAAAGTGTAAAATGAACAATCTGATAAATGTTGCAGACTACAGTTACGACTTAGGCAACCCCTCTCTAGAAGTCTCCCAAGTTGATAAAGATTTGTGTGTACTAGTAACTTACGATTTGAAGTCTCATGCTAACTGTGTCGAAAATGCCTTTCGAACAAAATATGCACAGTAACACTGAAGTGTATTTTTGGTCAGCTTGACGGTAGAACTTTCCATATAATCTTCAAGAGTTTTGTTCACCCCTCTTTAGAATAAGCAAACATATAATTTCCTTCGACCCACTCCGAAAGGATAAGGACACCCTGGAGCGTATCCAACGGCGAGCCCCGAAATCAGTTCATGGGCTCAAATTCAAGCCTTATGAAGAGCGCCTCCAATCACTAAAAATTTACCCATTACATTGTAGGAGCTTTAGAGGTGACCTTCTAATGGCTTACAGTATCCTTAACACTCCTAAACACCCCTTTAGACACCGACTTAAGCTCAGCTCCAACGCAAACATAAGGGTAATACCCAGAAACTAGAGACACAACACAGCAAAACGGACTGTAGACACCATTTCTACTCCTTAAGAGTTGTCAAGTTCTGGGATTCGTTGCCGGCTGAGCTAGTCCAAGCGACTTCTCAGGAGTTCTTTGAGGAGAAACTTGACCTATTCTTAAGGACTAAGGATAATATCTTACTATTATTTACCAATTTCTTTTTACTCTATTATCGGTAATATCCCTAGGATCTTGCCTGTGGGTATTGGCGATCCACTACTACTAGACACAAAGGCCAGTTAAGCGAAAGCTTCTTCTATTGTATTGTATTGTATTGTTACAAATAACTATATTAAGCTAACTTCAGATTTACTTACGTGGTGAGCAAGAAATACGTCAAACTGCCAATAAATTGGAATAAAAACTATGTTACAAGCACTAGCAATACAGAAATTGATGTGTCATGCAAAAAAGCCTGTTAATAGCTGATAAATAACGACACAAAAAATCCACGACAATATGTAACGTGTGCGCGAAAATCCCTGGCTTACCCGCTAGTCCGTGCCTTCCACAACTATTTGAACCATTTGAATCTGAGTCAAACATGTCTGTATTCAATACTACACTACTGCTGAATATTACATGTCATTCAGCATTTACTAATTAACCAGTTCCAACAATCTGAATAAAATACCTACTACAAAATGTTGGGAAAACTTATTCAAACTGCTTTTCTACTATCCACTTCAGTAGAAAATATGCACACCATTCAAGTAGTGCGTTACATATAAATTTTCCGTAAGTACTCACAATATTACCTAGTAAGTACTGTCGATTTAATTCATGTTTATCTGATCAAGAATATAGGTGTGTGGTTATTTATACCAGTGAAAATTCTTGAAATGCTTCAGATGTATATTTTAGAACGGATATCATTAAATTTTAGTACGCTTCAAAATAGTGTGATGACAGGTGTACTAGTTTGTACTTTTCACTTATTATGTAATCCTTCTCATCGTCATCGTAGGTAGCTTAAACCAAACAGAAAGACATTTAGGTGGGTATTTTGGTATATCAACTCAGCAAACAGATGATGGCGATCGTCCCCTGCAACTGTGCTCAGCCAATCGTTTATTTTTAGCAAGCACAAATTTTAAGCATAAGGAAAGACATCGTCTAACATGGTGACCCCCTACACCAAACCAACGATGGACTCAAATAGACTATATTGCCATCAGTCATCGTTGGAGAGGGTCGGTACAATATGGTCGCTCATTACGGAGTACTTGCTTGGACTCCGACCATGCCCTAATACGGGTACGCATCTGCTTGCGCCTAACTGGACGCAAAAAAGCCACATTAAAAAGACTAATTAGAACTGAGTTGAGTAACGAGAAAACCAAAAGTAGGTTCCAGGAACAACTGAGGTCACACTTAGGTAGTTCTGAAAACGAGGCTGACCCAGATGTTGCTTGGAAAGCTATACAAACAGCTGGGAAACAGCAGTGACATCTGTTAGTGATTTTAACCAAAGGGTTACCAAAAGCCATTGGATTTCTTCTAAGACTATTGTACCGATGGATTCTCGTAAACTCATCCCATCAGGCTCTGAACACGATGAAGAGCGAAAGCAAATCAGATCTAGGTTAACCAAAAGTCTACGGAACAGTCGTGAGCAGTGGTGGGTGACGAAAGCAAAAGAGATGGAAAAGACAAAGGCTGTAGGTAACACCAGACAGCTTATCAGACCAATAAAATAAACCGGAATTAAGGGGTTAAGTGTAAGTGAGACAATCACAGAAAAAATGGCACTCTTATGTTCTCTCAGTCTAGACGTTTAGAACGATGAGCGGAACATTTTAAGGAGCAGTTCAGCTGGCCTTCAGCTACTCTACAACTACCTACCATTCCCAGACAGCGTGAATGGAACATGGAAGTAGGTCCGCCGACTATAACTGAAGTTCAAAAAGGTATAGCTAATCTGAAACGAGGAGGGGCAGCTGGTCCAGATGGATTGGCTCCAGATGTCTTTAAGGATTTTGGTCTAGTTTTGGCGATTAGGTTAACTAATATTTCATAAAATCTGTGAGTTAGACGTGATCCCATCTGATTGGTCGCAATCACTGATTGTTCCGATATATAGGGTGTCAAAATCATCCTGTGGTAGCCATAGAGGCACTATTTTGACTAACATAGCATCTAAAATACTAGCTTCAATATTTATCGGGTGCCTAACAAAAACTTGTGAACTGCAAACACGAGAGAATCAGGCTGGCTGCATCGACCATATATTCACCATTCATCAGGTTCTAGAACACAGGCATGCTTATCGGCGTCCGGCAATGGTGGTCTTTCTTGACCTAAAAGCAGAATTTGACTCTGTAGACCGAGAGGTTCTATGGCAGTGTCTGTCATCGAAAGGCGTACCTCAGAAGTACATAAACCTTGTGAAGGCTCTTTACTCGAACACTACTAGTCGAGTCAGAGCTTATGACGAACTGTCATCTGATGTTGCAACCTCAAGTGGTGTCCGATAAGGCTGTCCACTTTCTCCACTTTTGTTTAACTTCATTATAAACTTACTGATGGAAATAACACTCTCGTCAACTGAATTCTCGGGCATTGATCTCCTACCAGGAGGTCCACTTATCGACTTAGAATATGCAGATGATATGATCCTGTTTGGTGAAGACTCTAAAATGCAGTCTTTTGATAGCACTGAGCAACAATGCCAGAATGTTAGGGATGCCCTTCCACCCTTTCTAAATGCAAATTGTTGCTTAAGAACTGACCTGCGTCAACACCTGAACTTCACGGCTGCAGAACGTGGCCATTAAGAGTAGAAGATACTCATAAGTTACTAGTATTTGATCACAGATGTCCTAGAAATATTGCCAGCATCTGCTTGGATCACTGGATAAGTAATAGTGAGGTTAGACGGAAGTTACTAGGGAATGATGGTAATTTAGTTGGTGAGGTTGTGAATCTACGCCGACTGAGATGGTTGGGTGACGTATTGCACATGTCCAACTACCGACTACCACGACGCGCAAAGCTGACTAGTGTTGAAGGCAGATTGGAAAAAGTTAGTGGCGGCCAAACGACGTCATATATGTCAAATCTTTAGAATAATCTAAGTCCCGAAAATAATCCAGGCGAGTTATATATGGCTTAACATCGATTACCACGAAGCGCAAAGCTGACTAGTGTTGAAGGCAGATTGGAGAAAGTTATGGGGAGCCAAACGAAAAAGTGGCATCAGTCATTGAAGTCGCTAACTTCTCGTCTTAGCCATGTTGGTAGATGCATAATACTTGGTTGGAGTCCACATGACTGTCGTAACCAATGGTTGGAGACTCTGGGTGATATGGTCCAGAATCTATCACAATGGCGTCGATGCATACACTCTTTGCCTTTCTTTAAACCATAAGATTAAAATCGCTTTATATCCTTCGTTCTATGAACTGTTTCTTTCTTTCTGTACTATGTCATTATACACAATCTTTCTTTCATATATTACTACAATTGAAGTGACTATTTCTATGAATTTGATGCTTATTTTGTTGTGCTAAAGAGGTGTGGCAACTTGGGCCGATGCATGTATGTGTCTGGTCCTACGTTGTCGATGACTGACCGAGAGAGATATGAACCATTTGTAACGTAGAGCGCATGTATATCTGTCTTAGCTCTCACAATCAATCCTTATGTAGAAGTAAAATATCAAAACGATGAACAGTGCAAAAGTGAAAACAGTAAACATGACGTTGGGAGTAAATTAAAAATTTTCCTCAAAAGGGACTGATAAACTGAAGCAATGAAGGAAATATAATTGTCATAACAAAGTAAAAATTAAACCTGTTTGTCAAATCCTGAATTCATTGAAATGCAAGTGGCCTACGAAATCCGAATCGTCCGACCATTTATTTTGTGGTGTTATTTTTGTATATAAACATGTTCTTTTGCTATAGAAAGACCTTGTTTTGCTAGTTTGTTGTATTGTCTTCAATCTCAGTCCATCCAGAGGTCCAGTGTCTTGAACTCTGATTGCTCATTCGCAATCGTATCATGGAATGTTATATGTTGGCTGTTAGATTAGAAAGTTCCATCAAGGTGAGAAGAAATCGGCTTGAGAAACGATGTCTTTTCGTCATCTCCGAGTATGCAACGACAGATTACAGCCCGGATGCAATCAAGGATGAATTCTACCATCAGTCAACTGTTCTTCTCCAGAAAGTGCGTTCGACAGATGTTGTAGTACTAGCCGGAGACTTGAATGCTCAGGTCGGGCGTCTAGGCACAGAAGAGAGTCGTTTGGGTGACCGATGGGGACTTGTTGGTCGCAGGACAGATAACGGGGACCGTCTACTGCAACTATGCACAGACCACAACCTGTTTCTGGCTAGCACTAACTTTCGGCACAGTCATCGCCGATGTGCCACCCGGCGTCCTCCCTCTGCATCTCAAGCCTGAACTCAGATTGATCGCAACGCGATCAGCTACCGCAGGCGTGGTTGTGTACAAGACTGCCGCTACTTTTAGAGTAACTGTCTAGACTCCGATCACGCCTTGGTCTACGCCAATCTTACCTTACTTTTCAGTGGCCAACGTGATGAACGCCACCAAAGGATTGATTTCAGCAAGTTGGTTGCAACTTCTGTTGCAATGAACTATCGAACCGAGCTAGCTTCTAGGCTGGCTGCCATCCCACCAAAAAGTAAAGATGAACATTGGCTGCAATTGCATGACGTCATGAAAACGGCAGGTGCAGTCAGTTGTGGGTTCGCGAAACGTCCCGCTTATAAGCACTGGGTTACTTCTGGTCCCTTACAAATGAAATCAGGCAAAGCTTGCGTAAGGACCGAGAAGCCTGGTGGTCGGAGCGTGCTAATGAGCTGGAAGCAGCAGCTGCATCTGGTAACTATTGAAGAAGGGTGTACCTGAGAAGTTTATTAACATCCTAAAAGCCCTATATACAAACACCTCAGGCAGAGTGAGGGCATACAACCATCTTTCTCCATTGTTCCATACGAGCAGTGGGGTTAGACAGGGTTATCCAATCTCACCATTCCTCTTCAACTTTACCATCGATGAAATTCTGGAAACAGCTCTGATGGATGTAAGTAATGGTGGTGTGGATCTGTTGCCTGGAGAAACTTCTCGACCTTGAGTATGCGGATGATATTGTCTTACTGTGCGATAATGCCCAAAGCATGCAATCCACACTCAATCAGTTGGTAATCAGTGTCCGTAGGTGCGGTATGTGCTTTGCACCTTCGAAGTGCAAAGTACTTCTACAAGACTGGCAGGATTCCAATCCTGTACTCACCCTGGACGGTGAGCAGATAGACGTAGTTGAGAAGTTCGTGTATCTGGGTAGCTGCATAAGTGCTGGTGGGGGTGTGAGTGATGAGATCAATGCACGTATAGTGAAAGCCAGAGCGGCTTATGCCAATCTGGGCCACCTTTGGCACCTTCGTGATGTTAATCTGGCTGTAAAAGGCCGGATCTACAACGCGTCGGTGAGAGCAGTTTTACTCTATGCTTGTGAAACCTGGCCTCTCCGAGTTGAGGACGTTAGACGACTCTCTGTGTTCGATCATCGCTGTCTCCGAAGGATTGCTGACATCTAGTGGCGACACCATGTTAGTAATGCAGAGGTTCGGCATCGTGTGTTCGGGCACAGAGATGATAAGGCAACCGGTGTCACCATCTTGAAACACCGACTTCGGTGGCTTGGACATGTTCTACGAAGGTCGTCCCAGAGAATTCCACGTCGTGCATTATTTGCCGACTCTGGT